CCATTTCCGTCAACCACCAACTTCCGAGCGAGCAGGGAGAAACTGAAAGGAAGGGCGGGGGCCGAAAGGCGAGGGGAAAACACCCGCTTCCTCTCTGGGCGCAGCTTAGCCTTGGAGCACGGCCGTGGGTGATCGCCCGCCGGGGCCGCCGAAGGCTTCCCCTCTGCCCGGCCGCGCCTCGCCCCCGGCTCGCCGCCGCCGCACCTCGCCGTAACCTCCCCGGAGCCTATAGAAATCTTTTGTGTGGCGTCACCGCCTTTCGTTTAAATCCCGCTTCCTCCTCTCGCCTTTTCTCCCGCCCCCTCCGCCGCTCCCGGATGCTTGCGCGGTGCGCTGCTCCTCCCCCGGGAAGCTGGGTGGCTGCGGGGGACGCCGCCGCCCAGCACTCAGCTGCCTGCCTGAAGCTGGTGGTCCTGGGCCGCCTCTGCCTTCCAGCGGAAAGATTGGGTAGCAGACGGGCTGGGGAAAGGCAGCCCGGCCAGGGGCTCTGCACACACCCTCTGGAGATCGCGGTGTAGCAGCCGGTTGGCCTTACGTAAGCTCTTAGCCAGGCCCGGGCCCCAGGCTTCTCTCCGCCAGGGAAGCCAGTCTTAAAAAGGTGACTTGGGTTAGAGGGAAGGACAATCGGTATGATTCCCTGGTGATTTACTGGAGCCCAGACATCTCGGTTTGTGGGACTTCGATTGGATTTTCCAAGCTTTCCTTCTGCCCTTTGTTGTGTTTGATCTCTTCCACAGTGGGTTTCTGATGGGCTGTGAGAGTGATGAAAAGAAAAGAGCACTGGATATAGAGTCCCAACAGGAGGGTGGGGGATTGTGCAGATGCTCTCACTTAAAATCTCCAGCTAAGCATACTTCAAGTAGTCAGCAGGCTTTGAACTTAACTTCCAGGCTCAGTCTTTTCCCAGCCATTTATGAGTTCTGTGACTTAAGTTCTCTTTCCAAGTATCTATTTTTCTCTATGTCAGATACTGGCCACTAACTGCTTGAGCACTCACCTCATGAATAGTAGCTGTTAGAATTATTATGGGCCTTGATCAGCATACTTTGGCCCTTCATAGCTTTGTCGATATACTGGAGTAATAATGGCCATTGTTAAATAAGAAAGACAGCCTTTGGAGGTAAACATTATTTTACAGTTAGGGAAACCGATGGTCAGGTGCCTTAAGTAAGTGTCTTCTTAGGTGAGGAAGGCAACAATTGACTGGGTGAGGAACCCTCCCCGCCCCTCTCCTGACTTACTGCACCTTGTTCTGCAGGAAGTGGTTGGAATGCCTGGCCTTACTCCCAGAGAATGGCCCATCAGTTCAGTGGTCCTGAATCCGGCCTTCTGGGTACTCTCCCAGCACACACTGGGTATGAAAACCAATGGAAATGTTTGTTGCTCTATTTTTTTCTAGGACTCCAGGTCACTGCATCCGCCCCCACCCAGCTTGTTACTTGTAACTAGAATGGACTTAAATTTATCGTCCAAGCCCAAACAGTTTGAAGAGTAACTGTGAGACATATTATTAATAAGTTAACAGAAGCAACAGGTTCAGACTTGGTTGGATAGTGCCCTACTTTCAGCTGAAAGTGGCCTTGGAGAATCTTGGAGAACTGAACTTGATAAAACTGATAACTTCCTAAACAAAGAGCAGTTTTATAGAGTCAATCCTTCTACTTTTGTACAAGGGAAAAATGTTTGGACAAATTCTTAACATGGTAACCCAGGAACAGCAAAAATAGCTCTAAAAACCTATGCCAGAGAAGTCAAACCATCTTCCCTAGGCCTAGTTTATTCATGAAACTGCTCTGAAATCAAATTTTTTCCCAAAACCAATTGGCATTCCTGGAGTCCCATTTCCCTTTTCTTCTACAGTGCAATCTGTTTTTCTTATCATCGCTGGATGCTTCATACTCAACAATGAGCTGTGCTACATGAGGACTGTACCACTATTCCACAAGGTTTGATTTAGCTTTTAAAATTGATAGGATTGTTTTCTTGGCCCTCCTTGCTTAGTTTCTCAGATAAGGCAGCTAGCTCCTAAGCTGATCCTTATAGGTACTGCTTTTCACTTTCTTTTATTTTCTGCCATCATTCATTCACTCCACAAACAATGAACACCTGCTACATGCTGGGCTCTGTACTAGGCATCAAAATTACAAAATAAGTAATATGAAGCTTCTACCTGTTAAGAGTGGAGTCCAGAAAAGGGAGCAAGTAATCCCAATTTTACTTTTTAGATGGTGCAAACACAGTAAAGAAACTATAGCAGAGATGGTAGGGCTTACTAAACATTTCAGTTGCTGCTAGGCAGGTCACACTGTTCTTACAAATGCGGTGGAAGTGGAAATGTGTGCTCTGCTTCCAGGCTGAGGTAATAGAAAGCCAGTCTGAAGTAACTATTGAGGAGTCTGTTCTGGTTGGTGGAACCTCCACAAACCTAGGTGACTACACAGAGTAGACCCTGTCCAGAGCTGTACTGGACATGTAATATGAGTACAAAGTAAACTTCTGTTGTGTGAAGCCACTGTGATTTGAGGTTTGTTGCTGTAGCATATTTGAGTCTAATTGAACGAATTAGAGGGCTGTTTGTGTCTATTTCACCTGTTACTCCTTCTAACTCTCTATTTGTTTTTGGTACCAGGGATTGAATCAGGGGTTCTTCACCATTGAGCCACATCCCTAGCCCCAACCCCCTATTTTTCATTTTGAGACAGAGTCTCACCAAGTTGCTCAGGGCCTTGCTAAATTGCTGGCACTGGTCTTGAACTGGCGATCCTCCTGCCTCAGTTTCCTAAGTGACTGGGATTATAGGTGTGTGCCACAGCACCCAGCCTAACTCTCTTTTTAAATTAAATATGAACCAAAGGTGCTCTGCAAAGTATATGATATTATATGATACGAACCCCCCCCCCAAATAAATATGTTGAAATTTAATCACTAAGTGATAGTGTAAGAGATGGGGCCTTTATGAGGTGAGTAATTTAAAAAGGTAGAATTCTCCTGAATGGGATTTGTGCCCTTATAAAAGAGGATTAAGGGACACCCTTCCTTTTGCCCTTCTTCCTTGTGAGGACACAGCAACAAAGCACCATCTATGAAGAATGGGTTATCACCAGTTACTAAATCAGGTAGTACCTTGATCTTAGATTTCCTAGCATTCTGCCCTGTGAGAAATAGTTCTATTGTTTATAAATTATACCACCTAATGTGTTTTTTTATAGCAGCATGGACAAACAAGATATATTTTTCACTAAAATGGATGTCAATTGAGAGAAGAAAGCTGAAAATGTGTGAAATGAGTGTTCACTGGGGTAAAGTAAATGGAGCAGACAGGAGGGAGCTGGGACTGTGCAGAGAGTGGTTTGGTTTCTAGAATGTATTCTCAGTACTGGATCAAGACCCATGCTTAGTAGACATTAGTGAATGAAAAAGATGCAAAGAAAGAACTAGTTGAAGATTTGGGCACGAAAGTAGAAATGACAGAGATTGGAACAGGCAGGATTGGAGCAACATCCTTTACCTCCTCCTCTTACCTGTTTTAGAGGGAGCATTGGCTATCTGGAGTTCACGCAGATATAAGAGAACAGTACGGGCAGGCATTCTGGGGTTTTGTTTTGTTTTGCGGTACAGGGGATTGAATCCAAGGGTACTGAACCACTGAGCTTCATCCCCAGCTCTTTTTTTGAGACAGGTTCTCACTAAGTTGCTAAGTTTCTTTCTAAGGCTGGGTTTGTACTCGCAATCCTCCTACCTCAGTCTCTCTAGTCATTGGGATTGCAAGTACGTGCCATTGCATGCAAGTACCTTATTGTAACGATCACCATCATCCACCTTCAGAAGTTTTTCATCTTCCCAGAGTCACACTCTGTATCCATTAAACAATATTTTCCCATTCTTCTCTCCTGCAGTCCCTAGCAATCCCCATTCAACTTCCTGTCTCCAGGAATATGACTATTTTAGATACCTTTTGTAAGTAAGGTAAGATACCTTTTATGTCTGACTTTATTTATTTTAGCATGTCTTCAAGATTCATCGATGTGGTAGCATGTATCAGAATTTCCTTTCTTTTCACAGCTGAATAATATTCCATGGTATGCATTCTGGATTTTGATACCCAATATTCCCACTTCATCTAAGACTCTATGTACCAACACAGCTGCATATGATGTACAATGCCATCTGGTGGTCGGTAGGGAGCAATCTCTGCCTTAATGTACCTTTCCTTTGGAACAGTGCCTCTGTTTTGTTTGTGCTCATAGATAGGCCAGTTTAGTTTCAAGTTATCTTTCTACACTTATCCAAGCATCACTCATTATCTTCCTTTCAATATTTCTTTTAAAGGATAGGAATTTCTATCTGAAGGATGTATTCCTATCCCTCTTTTTCCTATTTCAGACATCCTCAGGGATGATGGATGTGAGCTCCTGGGTCCCTAAGGAGCAGAATCATTATGTTAACAGGTCACTGTCCTTACCTGGCACAGCCTCTTGCTCTGTGGCCTATTTTGTTCCTATCCAATAAGAACACCTGGGCAGGACCTCACCCATCAGTCTCATGTTCTTCCCTCCCTTCTTTCCTGCCACATCTTAGTTCATCAGAAGATGGATGTGTGAGGGAGGCTTGTATGTAGGACCAGTTTGCTTTGGCAGAAACACCTTAGCATTCAGATCCCAAGATTCTGGCAGATGCATCTGGATCAGACTCAGATGGGGCCAGAGTCTGAACCAGGTCTCAGGCACTGCAATACACGGCTAGGAAAAAGAGTTCTGAAATGTAAGAGGTCATGGCCTAAATAAAGCACAGCATCCTACCTGGAGGTGAAGGTTGCCAGTGATCTTCAGATGTATTTTCCATCCTTCATAGTCTTGGAGAAGAAAAGTACTAAGATTCAGGCACCCTCAATCCCCAACACTGATCATGACTGACCATGTTTCAATATGTCTCATGGTGTTGGGCACAGAATCTCTCAGGGTACTTTGTGGTCAGTAACTACAGATTGACTAGATTCTGTGGAGCCTCTCTGGTTCCTCAGACACACTCAGCATTTCTGCCCCTTTGGGCCATTGTGCTGTCTGCACAGCTTCAGTGGGACTATTGGCAGGCTGTACTTGTAACTGTTGGCACACCTCTTTCTCCAAAACTCTTTCATCGAGTTAAGAGAAGGACCTGGTATACTTATCTCTCCCACACCTAATGCATTACATGATCATCAATAAACTTTTATAGAATTCATTCATTTACTAAACCTCCTGGCAAGAAAAGTGTTCTTTTTTTTGAACCAATATCTGGCTGCCCTCAACTTTTATTTCAGTAATGGTCAGAAAGTGACGGACATTTATGAAACAACAGCAGGGCAACAGCTCTTGTATGATGATGACCTCAATGCCACTGTCATCATCCTTACCTAAGCCCCACTCCCAGGCCCCTCCTACATCTTCCCATGATTCAGTCCACTAAAGAATTAATAATTGGTACAAGAGCCCTACCTGCAGGTCATAGGCTTCTGTTAATTGGTAATTGTGCCTCTGGTTTTTCAATATTTTAAAGTCATCCTTGCCTGATTTCAGATAGTACTAGAAATTCTTATTTCCTCTCCTCTGTTGTGATGGACACAAGCCAGGATGAGCCCAGATTAGGACACTAATTAGATCCAAGATTCAGTTTTTCCATCCGCAGTTTCTGCACCTTTTAGAGGTAAGGTTAGTATTAACCTCAGAGTAGGAGAGGCCTGTGCTTTATATAGGCCACTACCACATGATCTCTTACACTTCAGAACTCTCTCTCCCGTCCTGTACTGCAGAGCCTCAGAGCAGGTTCAGACTCCGTCCCCATTTGAGTGCTCTGGCTCCAGACTCTTTTCAATCCATTTTCCATATGGCTCCCAGTGACTGTGCCGATTGCTTCCCTGATTAACCCAGATGGTGCTACTGGAAGAAAGACAGCAAAGAAAAACCTCACTGTCCCATATACCTGGGCTCTAATTTTTGCCCTGCAGCTGTATTATCTATGTGACCTCAGATAAATTATGTAATTCCAAAAAAATCAGAATTTCCTCTTATTTAAAATAGGGATGTTATTATTGTCATCACATCATTCCTTCAGGCCCTGACCACCTGTAATCTACATTGGATTTACTACGGGTTGTTCATCTCCTCTACCACTCCAAAACCTCCAAGAAAAACAAACAAAATAATTAATTAAATTTAATGTTTAAAACAATCCTTCAAAAGCAAGGGCCTTATTGTATTCATTTTTGCCTCAGTGCCTCACCTGATTCTTGGTTAACAGTAGGTTGTTAGTAAATAAATTCCTCCAGGCTTGAATCAAATCAAGTTTCAAAACACCAAAATATATTTAAAATATCAAAGCATTGAAAATGCGGTTGATCCAGATATTTTCACATCAGTGGATTATAAACCAAATGGATTTCCTGCTTGGATGAAAGTAGCCCTAAAGTTTACCCAATCCCAACAATTTCTGTCAAACACTCAATGGCTTTTGTTCTCTATAACCAGATACTGTGGGCCAAGAATCCCAGCACTTTTGCACCTTGACAGTAGACAAAATGAATGACCAGGGTGACCCCTCCCAACAGAGCACATGATCCGCCACAGCTGTGCATGTTTTCTAGCATGACTGCACCAGGACACAGCTCCAAGCCACTGGGTGGAGCAATGTGCCCCAGGGAGAAAGCTTTGACTTTTCCCCCGATGATTTCAGAAAAGAAAAGAGAAAAGTCTCTTTTTACTTATGAGTTGTTTCTGCTTAATGTCAATAGGGAATATTATCATATTTACATATGTACATGCATGAATGTATAGAATATCCACCCAGTGCTCCACGCATGTGAGGCAAGTGCTCTACCACTGAGCCACAACCCTAGCCCCCAGAATCTTAATTTTATTACACTGAAAATGTACATAGCTAGAAGACAATTTCCTGCCCTCTCTGGGAGAGATAGGTTTTAGCCAGTGAGATCAGAAGTATTGGGAGCAAGATCCAAATAGGATGCCCCAAAAGTTGATCCTATTGAAAGGTATGCTCTGTTTGACTTGCTGTCCTTCTTCCTTCCTCTGGATGAATGTAATCTTGATGGCTGGAGCTCCAGTAACCATCTTGGAACTTGTGGTGACCTTGAAGATGGAAGCCACAGGGCCAGTGTAATGGAGCAGATTGAGAAAGAAGGCTGGGTGCCACATGACTTAAGTTACCACCATACCAGCCTGAGATGCTTGGTTTCTACCTGCTTCTCTTTCAGAGAAAGAGAAGAATGTACAGTGAAGCACACCTGTGATCCCACTTGGAAGGCCGAGGCAAGAGAATCTTAAGTTTGAGGCCAGCCTCAGCAGCTTTATGAAAAAAACTGTCTCAGAATAAAAAATTTTTAGGACTAGTTTAGCCCATAGCCAGCACAGGCTTCATAAATGAAGGTTCAGCTACATGAGAAATCCTAAGGGAGTTTGAATTAAAGAGACAGGCTCTAATTACCTTTAAATCAGCTCCAGGACAGCTACTCCTACCTCCAGCCTCAAGCTACCTATTAGAGT